TTATAGGTGAGTACGTATCAAAGTAATCCAGGCCTTCTCGTTTCTTGTACCCTTTGATAATGAGCCTCGCCTTATACTTGTCAATTGACCCATCGGCCTTCATCTTTCTTTTAAAAATCCATTTGCAGCCTAAAGGCTTACAACCTGGAGGTAAATCTACCAACTCCCAGGTGTGGTTCTGTAAGATGGAGTCAATCTCACTTTTGATCGCTTCTTTCCATAAAGGACTCTCAGGAGAAGTCACAGCTTTGTGGAAAGTTTGAGGTTCGTTCTCAACCATATAAGTTAAGAAGTCTGGACCAAAAGATTTGGATGTCCTAGCCCTTTTACTCCGTCTGGGCTCATCTAAAACCTCAATTTGATCATCACCTGGATCATCAACATGATCATCTTCACTAGCAAGCTCATCAAATTGCTCCAAAGACCTTGGAACCCCTGCATGGGTTCGGCAAGGAAAAATGTCTTCAAAGAACATGCATTCCTTGACTCCATGATGGTATTCCTGTGTATGTCTGGAATTTCAGACTTATGTACAAGAAACTGATATGCACTATTATTATGTGCATAACCAATGAATATACAATCCACGGATTTTGGGTCTATCCTAACCCGTTTGGGTGTAGGAATCGCCACTTTTGCAAGACACCCCCACATTCGTAAGAATTTATACGAAGGCTTAACACCTTTCCATAACTCATACGGCGTCTTGTTCACCTTCTTCTAGGGTACTTTATTCAGAATGTAATTTGCAGAGAGAATTGTTTCCCCCCACAAGTTCTGTGGCAATTCAGAACTTATCAACATTCATTCATCATTTCCTTTAGCGTCCTATTCTTCTGCTCAGCAATCCCATTAGACTGAGGAGAATAAGGCGTCGTGGTTTGGTGGATAATCCCAGATTGAGCACAAGTCTCAATAAACGGAGATTCATACTTACCACCACGATCACTTCTTAAAGCCTTAATCTTGCGGCCTACTTGATTCTCAACTTCATTCTTATAAAGAACAAACTTGTCAATCGCCTCATCTTTGCTTTTGAGCAAATAGACATAACAATACTTAGTGCAATCATCAACAAAAGTGATGAAGTACTTATTGCCACCACGTGATTGTATAAATTTTAAGTCACACACATCACTATGCACTAAATCCAACGGTTCTGAACTTCTTTCAATAGAATGAAACGAAGATCTTGTCAACTTCGCTTCAACACAAGTTTCACACTTGTGTTTCGGATTAATCTTAAAAGATGGTATGTGATCTAACTTGATTAATCTACGTAAAGATTCAAAGTTCACATGTCCTAGTCTACCATGCCACAAATTGGAAGACTCAAGCATGTAAACAGAAGAAGATGCACCTTTATTCATCTTTGGGATAACAGTCATAACATTGAATTTAAACATACCCCCCAACATATAACCCTTACCCACATACATTCCGCTTTTGGTAAGAACGACCTTGTCGGACTCAAAAACCATGCGAAAACCATGTTTACTAAGAAGAGACCCTGAGACAAGATTTTTACGAATGTCCGGAACATACAGAACTTCATTCAAGGTCAGCTCCTTTCCTGACGTCAACTTCAGGACCACCTTTCCTTTCCCCTCAACCATCGAGGTAGCAGAGTTTCCCATAAACAACTTCTCACCGTTTGTAACCGGTTCGAAAGTTGTAAACAGTTTCTGCTCGGAGCAGATGTGGCGTGAAGCCCCAGTATCAATCCACCATTCTCTTGGGTTTGAACCCACCAGATTCACCTCAGAGACAACGGCAGACAAGTGCATATCATCCTCCTCATGAGAGTGCTCTTGTAAGTCTCCCATATGAGCACGAGGTTTGGTCTTGTATGGCTTCTTCTGCTTGCGGCAGTCACTAGCCCGATGCCCCTCGTTACCACAGTTATAACACTTCCCAAAGAACCGATAACCAAGTTCCTGCGACTTGTAAGCCGACTTCTTTGCAACACCACCCCTTGGCCCCAACTTAGAGCTCTTGTTCACAGGGGGCTTCTTCCTTATCCCAGAAGATTTGCCATGCTCAACGACATTGGCCTTTACTGAGGAGGTACTCCCTCATTTCTTTCTATTATCCTCTTCAATCCGGAGTCGGACAACCAGCTCTTCAACAGACATTTCCTTGCGCTTGTGCTTCAAGTAATTCTTGAAATTCTTCCAACCATTGGGAAGTTTCTCAATGATCACAACAACTTGGAATAACTCGTTCAAAGGCATCCCCTCAGCATGAATTTCATGCAAGATCACTTGGAACTCCTAGACTTGGCTTATCACAGTTTTAGAATCTACCATTTTAAAATCAAGGAAACGGCCAACCACAAATTTCTTTGCCCCGGCATCCTCAGTCCTGTACTTTTTGTCCAGAGATTCCCATAATTCTTTTGCTGAGCTCTTGGAACAAAACACACTATAGAGTGAGTCTGCCAAGCTGTTGAACACATAGTTCCGGCAAAGATAGTCTGTCTGCTTCCATGTGTCAAGCGCCATGACTTTCTGCCTGTCAGGCTCATTCTCTGCCACGACTGGAGGATCCTCACTCAAAACCTTGGCAAGGTTTAGCGTGGTCAATTAAAACAACATCTTTTGCTGCCATCTCTTAAAGTTTTTCCCAGCAAATTTTTCTGGGCGCTCATGGTGACTAAGCGGTCCTCCCGGAACAGCAGGAGTAACACCAGGGTTGACCACAGAGATCACAGCAGTAGGGGTTGGCAATCCAGTTGCCCCGGGGTTCAAATCCCCACTAACATTAGCAGTAGCAGCAGCATCAATGATAGTTTTCATTTCTGAAAATTACACCAGAATATCACTTCTGTGTTTCCAGAAATTAAACTTAACCCTTAGAAAATCCATTAGAAGAAAAATTAATTCAAAAATTAGTCTCACCACAAAACCTACAATCGAACATGGTCAAGAAAGTTCCTAGGAAGACTGGAGGGGTCACATCGGTCCCACTTAAAACCCAGTTAACCTTTTGACAAAACTTTTAAGAGCATGTTGACTCCTAGTCCGTGATAAACAAATTAAGAATTAAATTTTCTTAAGGATGAACTAGGTTAAAGCAAACCAGGGTCCAAAACTTTTACAAACAATGTAAAACCATTGCTACAACAATATAAGCAAATAAAACTTGATACTACAAATTGGTAAGCAAATCAATTACATCTCAAGCAAAACATGCTTCAAACATTTTTGTTTTTACATCCCAAATTCTATTCATTTGGTTTTATATTTGTTTTTCACATTGGTATCCCTACAAAGAAAGTTAGTAGCAAACCACAACAAAATACAAACAAATAATCTAAAAAATTTAATTATAATAAATAATTGAAACCATCTAGCCAACTATTAATTATATAAGTAACCAACTAATATAAGGTACCAAAACAAAATACAATTTGTAACTTCAAAATTAAATTACAACTTTAAAATAAAGTTCAATACTCATGAGTCATTAATGAAATTAATTCATAATAAACATTTAAACTAATAACTCCAAATAGATAAGTCAAATTCAAAGTTAATGCACCCAATTAAATAATTCAGATTAATGCACCTAATTAAATAATTCAGATTAATGCACCCAAATAAATAATTTAGATTAATGCACCCAATTAGATAATTTAGATTAATGCACCCAATTAAATAATTCAGATTAATGCACCTAATTAAATAATTCAGATTAATGCACCTATTAAATAATTTAGATTAATGCACCTAATTAAATAACTCAGATTAATGCACCAATTAAATAATTCATATTAATGCACACAATTAGATAATTTAGATTAATGCACCCAATTAAATAATTCATATTAATACACACAATTAGATAATTTAGATTAATCATGTACACAATTCATAAAACTCTATAACTCCAAATACATTAAATTATGTAATCTAACCTGGAAAATAATAAGCATGTAACAAATTGAGACTAGAATAGAATTAGCATGTCAAAATTACAACATCCATAAATTATATTTTATAACCTTAAAATTCATGCAAATCATGGTAGGGAAATGATGAACCATACGCATAAAACAATATCATACTAATACAATTAAGTATGCAAATTATAATAGAACATTCTAATTAAACTAAGCAATTAGAGAGTACCATTGCATAATTTACAATTATTGAAATAGTGAGCAATTCCGCAACAATTCCTAGTAACATTATACAAAGCTAACCTAATAGTCTATATAAATCTATTCGATCAATTTCATAGAAAAGATATATAAAATCTGTTTTAAGCTTGTTGTTCTTAATTGTGAAATTAAATAAATAGATTTATGAAGAAAACAAATTACATACCAAGAACATATGCTGATAATTACAACTAAATTTCAACAGAAATACACAAAAAACAATAAAGTGTAAAGAGACAAAACCGAAGCTTACACGGAAGCAGTTTCCTTAAAACAGATTTCGCTGCCTCACAGGTTGAGTGCTTGAGGAAACCCAGCGTCTGTCTCCCAGGATACGACGGTCAAAACCAACTACGGCAGAAGCACTATCTGTCTAGCTTAGCGAACAAAACAATGGCAGCACTCTCTCACAATAGGAACTATCAAGCAAACTGACTTGTAAAATGGAAGCAAAAATTTTATATCTTGAAACTTGACAGGAAGGTCTCAATTTATACATGTATAGGGGACAGAGGAAAAACCCCCAGCCTTTAAGGCTAGTCATTAAAACACCAAGCATCTATAGCCCCTTTCCACAAAATGAAAAGTATGGATGCCCAAAGGATTCACACCCTTTAGCCAAGAAAAAAGATTTAAATACTCTTTAAAATCCTATTCATGAATCTAACATCATGAAGCAATTTCTTAGCAATTTCTTATTCAAAACCCAATGATTTTTGGCTCACTTGGACCCAACACAAAAAATGGTTAGGACCCACTTTAATATTTAATTAAAGTCACCACACTTTAATATTAAATTAAAATCTCCAAAAATCATTTTTTCCAATAAAGTTTTGAGGTGGCAAATTATGGGTGGACACTAAATAATTTTTCAACCTAACGATCCTGTGCGTTACTCAGATTTTAAAATCTCTAGTCTCTGTCTCTCTCTCAATCTATGAATATAAATACGTTTCCACACACGACATTGTTACACGCCTCACAGTAGTATCGAGCGAGCGAAGCAGATTTGGAGTATGGGTTTGAAGGTTTATTTACTATAATACTCTCTCTTACGTGATCGAATCAAATTGTTCAATTCTAGGCTATTCGTATCTTCATTTTTAACTGTTCTATATCACTCCTCTTTACTCGATTTTGATTAATTTCTGTGTTTCTGTTTCTTTTCTTTTGTTTATAATTTTCAAAAATTTATTTCACATCCATTTTTAAAAACACATCTACCTGGTCATCCTCCCTGACGTCTCCCGGACATTTGACCGGTCGTCTAGCCAGTTGACAGGCTAGTTGACCGGAATAGGAACAATGTTCGTGTTTTTTTTTTTTAATATTTTAAATAAAAAATATTTTCAGAATTAATTTTTTTTTTTTAGCTTTGAATAGAATTTTGGGTTGTGTGTTTGGTTATAAGTTGTAAGTTTTTGAATCAAATATCATATGTTACATCACTAAATTCAAACTCAATTCAAAACTGTTTTCAAAACTTATAACCAAACAAATTTTTCACACTCAAATCATAATTACAAAACTCACAAATTTAAAATACGACTCTATTATCAAATCATAATTCTAAAATTCTACCAAACACTACTTATAATTTCCTTATGGTTTCCCAAACGGAGTGTTTTTTGGGTTTTCATAGATCCGTTCTTAGTTTGATTAATAATTCTAATTCATTGTAGATCTTCTCTTGATTAGAGAGAGAGAGAGAGAGAGAGAGAGAGAGAGAGAGAGAGAGAGAGAGAGAGAGAGAGATATAGATGCATATGCATATTATGTACATGGATATTTTAGTGGACATAGGCAATTTAAGTTTTTTTTGCTCTATCAGTTTTTCCTTGAATTTTTAACTCATTGAAAGGGCAATCAACTTTGTTGCTAGTTTATCATATTGATTTATAATCTTTACTCATGGGTAGAGAGAGACTTCGTTTTTATGTTTATATTGTGTTCTTGGCATGCTTTTCCTTTATGGTTTTGATGTTGCAAACCAAACCACGCCTTAAGTCTGCAAATTCTTGACATTATGTCAAGCCATTTCCTTTGGCATCTTACACGATAAACCTGCTGATTGGAACTAATTTTAGCATATATCTAAGGAATGCCAACACCCTTTCGTAATTATAAATGAACATTTTCTTGGTGTGGTTGGCCTTCTCAACTTTTTTTTTTTGGTCCCTAGATCTTTTGATCTCTTTCTAAGTATCTATATCTTCGTAATACATTAAAAAATGCTCCGCTTACGAGAGCGGTGTGAATTTCAACTCCTACAGTTTTTTCAGATAAGCCACTAACATATTTATATCAAACATTTTTGGGCCCTGCAGGAGGAATTTGAGGAGTATGCTGAGACCCTGCCCGAGAGTACTACCAATGAAAGCAAGCTTATTCTGTATGGATTGTACAAGCAAGCCACTGTCGGACCAGTGAACACTAGTTAGTATTTTGCTCCTGTTAAATATGTCTCCTATAATATTAAACAGTTTGTTTTAGTTGCTTATTTTTTTTTATTGTAATTCAATCTTAAATTGCTTGCTATATCTGATCTATAGGCCGTCCTGGTATGTTCAACATGAGGGACAGGGCAAAGTGGGATGCATGGAAGGCTGTTGAAGGTATTGGGTTGAGATATTGAGTTATGGAACAAAAGTTACGTTTGGTTGTGTTCTTGTATTCTGTTTTTATTTTCCTGAAAATACGAAAAGCTTGGTTGGCAAGTTATATGAAAACCAACTTTTTGGAATGTTTTCAAATCTTCAAATTCTGTTTTTCCACAACAACGAAAACACTCGAACATTCCATTGTTTTTGTTTCTGAAAACACAAAAAATGAAAATAAAGAACATGAAAACACAATATGATCAAACATTGGTCTTTTGCGTGCTTGAGTTTATTTGGCTCCTCACTATAATTTTAACCCGTGCGTGGCAGGAAAATCGAAGGATGAAGCAATGAGTGATTATATCACCAAGGTGAAACAGTTGTTGGAAGAAGCTACTGCCTCTGCTTGATTTCAAGAACTTGCTGTGTTTCTTCTTGATAACTTTGGTTTGCGAAAAAAAAAATTTAAAAAAATTGATGGAACATAATAATAATGAACATTGTAGTTTTATCTACTAGTACTGTATCCTTTATGAATTCTGTGTGCGTGGATCAGGTATATTAGGGTTTAGTGGACATGGATCATAGCTATTCCTGAGTCATGTGGGCAAATTCTGGAACAATTCTTAATATAGACTTTTGGAACATCTTTTGTCTTCCTTCACTGTCCCTGTCTGCTTGATTGAAATGATGAAATGCTCTAGCTTGTACTCCTCTTTTTCACTTTGTTTTTATTTATTTATTTTTTCTTTTAAGTGGTCAAGTATGCAACTAAAATCCATGATTTTAGAACTCACAAGCTGATTCTTTTGGAATGCCGTTTGATTGCACAATTTCTTTCTAGAAATATTTCACAGAACCGGGTTCGTTTGGTTTGTATTTCTGAAAAATTTTTGGGAAATTTTTTCTACAAATAAGTTTTTAAAAAGTAATCAAACCAAACAAATTTTCCCAAAAAAAATTCTCAAAACTTGTAAACCAAACAAGTTTTCCAAACAAATCTCTCTCTCACACGCATCAAATCAATTACTTTTTCCAAAACTCTCTCTCAAAATAATTTTCCAAAACATCTTTTGAAAAAAACCAACCCAAACAACTTTTCGTACTTTTTATCTCTAAAACACATCTCTCAAACACAAACCAAACATACCATAATGTCACACTAAAATTTCTCTAAGGGTGTAAAAAGACCCAAATACCCAAATCCTATAAGAGAAGAGTGGCATTTATATTTTGATGCGGCATTAATGGTATCCATAAATTACTCTGAAATATGTATGGCCAAAAGTACTGATATCAATTACAAGCCCTAAGCTTCAGGACTAAGTTCTCTTAGGGTTTATTTTACTTATTTAATAGTGTTTATACAGAGATACGTATGTGTATCGATTAAGTGCTAAAACAAGAAACTATTTGAAAAAACTTTATTAGAAAGTGATGAAATAAAGACATTCATGGAATTGCAAATAACCATGGCCAAGTTCGGGTGCTACTATATAAAGTGTACAGATAAATTTCTCTCAGCCAATAAGCCAGATTTCCACCAAATCATACCATGTTGGATCAGTGAGCTCCATGTGGGGGCCGCTAATTCAATCATTTGACTCGGTGATATACACATCTTTTTCCATACGAAATTTATTTAGAACAGAACATTTACACGAGTTCTTCATTGATGTCTCTATTCTACAACATTTTTTTTTTTCCCTTCTAAGCTCCAGTTGTGTTAGTAATTCACTAAAAAAGGAATACATATATTTGCTAGATCAGGATTCATAGTTGAGTCATGATTTCTCTATTGAACAGAAGGATATCTGGATATATAATATTCCCTTACTCGAGAGGCGCCATCTCTAGCTAGAATCCCTTCAAGATCTCCAATGATTCTAGCCAACCATATCTCCAAGTTCCTCTGGATTTCTTTGAAGTTGTTTTTAATTGAGTCCAAGCACTGCTGTGTAGTCAGTTTGGTGTGACCTTCAAGCTCATCCCCAAAATCGCTCTTTCCCGTCTCAGTTTTCAATGCCATCAGCTTTTGTCCAGTTTCAGATGCATGCTGCTGGAGACGAAATGCTTCAAGCAAAAACTCTGTTTGCCTTTGTGCTCAAAACTCCGAGCTCAGTGTGGGTTCACATGGATCACTTGTTTGCTATATCAAGCAAGACAAACATTGTCACTAACATTCGTCATTATAAACCAATATTACTAAAATAGACAGGTCACAATGCCCAGGACAATGAGACAAAAACTAAAAGACCACGAATTATGTCAACTGGATGATTGTACGAGTGAAACAGAGGAACCTTAGTTGCACGAAGCGGGGGCGGAGGCGGGAGCGGGAGCAGGAGCGGGAGAGCATGAGCCGATAGAAGTTTCTTCGGTTGGGAGCGCCTCAAGGAGCGCTTAGATATATATATATATATATATATGTATATTATGCATATATAAATAAAATTAATTCAAAAATTTTGGAGTAGCTTTATTTAAATATATTAAATTTGATGACTTACATTGCTACACAAAAAT